ATTTTTTTTTAGTTTCTTAATTTTTGAAAATTAATTTTATTTCGAATTTTATATTGTTAGTTCCTTTGTTAATTTGTTAAGTTTTGAATGTAATTATTTGTAAGCGTTCTGTAATTACGTCAAGTACTTAAGCGTTTTTTCAAGATTTTTTCAAAAAGTTTCTTTTTTATAATTTTCAAGTGTACAAAATGCTTTATTACTTAAGACATATGTATGTACTATATGTGCATATATAAGTAAGGGTGTGTATATAAATTTGTAAGGATTTACGGTACTTATTTTTATTACAATTTTAAAGTTTGAAACTGCTTATTTACTTTGTTGTTAAATATGTTGCAGCTTTTCAACGTTTTATGTGTTGTTTTTGTTGTTGTTGTTGGCTGCAGTTACGCAATTTACTATTTCCTCTCGCCAACACGTTTGCTAATAATTTTTATTTCTTTTTTCGTTTTCGACTGCTATGTATATATATGTATGTATGTAAATGTGAAATATTAGTATCACAGTTTTGTTGTTGTTTTTAAATGATGCCGCTATTTGCTCTGCTATTTTATATAAATTTTTGCTCGAATTTAATTTTAATGATCTTTATTTATTTTATGCTTGTATATCAGTTAAACGTTGTTGTTAATTTTGCTGTTGTTGTTGCTGTTGCTTTTACTGCTTTTCGTATATATATTTGTTAATGTTTATTTTTTTTATGAAAAGGTACTATTTGCTGGTTATTTACTAATTAATAGTTCTTCAACTTATATATTGTATATATATTATATATATGTATGTATTTACTTGTATTTGTATATATAGTTTATATATGTGTGTGTAGATTATTTAACTTTTTATTCAACTATTATTTCTTTTTATGCTAAGACACTTGTTCGAACAATTAGCGAATTGTTTGAAACAAACAATTTTCAAATAATTTCCAACTAACGGTAAAAAAATGCCAACTCAAATCGTTTCGTAATCAGCTTTTCCTCAATAGTTTATGCATTCAACAAAACACTCGCTGCGCGCTACTCGTTAGTAGTTGTTTTTGTTGTTGTTTTTTCCGTTGACTTATACGCGCATGTAAACTAAATTATAAAATCATAAATTTTTTCAAATCATCAAACTTTTTTTTTTATAAAAATCATTTCTTTTTTATATAAAAATCATTAAATGTAGCTTTGCGCTTTTGTTGTGTTGAACATCGTCTCTAAGCCAACAACAAAGCGTTTTATAGTTTTTTTTTCGAATTTCTCTTTTGATTGCTCCGCTCTCAGCAGCATACACACACACACACACCGATATACTTTAACACTTGTTGTGTGTGGTTGTGTTTGACGTCTAAGTGCCAACTCGCGCAGCAGTTTGCGGAATTTCTTTTGTAGAAATTTCTGAATTTTATTTCCTGTTTGGATTTTGTGAAATTTCTTTTCCCTTCAAGCGCGCTGCTGTTAGTGTTGGCCGCTGCTGGTGCAGACTTTGCGTGCGATTTTCATTTGATTTTGCAACAATTTCAAGTGGTTCGAATGCGTGTTGCTGTTGTTTTTGTTGTTACTGTTGTTGATGTCATTACATTTGGCGTTGTTCAGCTGCTGCTGTTGGAAATATTGTAAATGCGTTTGTTGTTGTGGTTGACGATGACCAGCACTATGCGTGTAATTGTTGATTTTTTGGCTTTTGTTATTGTTGCTGCAGCTTTTGTTGTTGTTACTGTTGCTGCTGCTGCTGCTACTTTGACTACCGCTAACGACACCGCTGTTGTTGCTGTTGTTACTGCTATTGCTGCTATTGTTGCTATAAGCTTGGTGTATGTTATTATTATTATTATTGTTGTTGCTGTTGGTAATATTATCCGTTTTACACTTTAACACTTTCACTGCGTTGTTGTGTTGTTGTTGCTGCTGTTGCTTTTGTTGCTGGTCACTATCATTATTATTGTTGCTGTGTCGCTGCTGCTGTTGCTGCTGTTGTTGTTGACTATGATTTCTCTTCTTCTGATGATCCCTTTGGTTCCAAATTAAGATTTCCAAAAATACGAAAATTTCACGACAATTTATTCCGGAAGACATTTGGAATTTATTTTATACAATTGCGGCGACGAGTCCATTTCAACTTTTATGGTTGTTGTTGTTTTTTTTTAATTTTAAATATTACACTTTTGCTGTTGTTGTTGCACACTCTTTGTGGTTTTGTTCTGCGTTGCCAGAGATTCATACATAAACGTTGTTGTTGTTGTTTTTAATTAATAAATTTACTTTTACGCTGTTATTTGTTGGTGAGGTCGCTTTTTGTTAATGAAAAAATATTTCAATAAAATAGTAGTGTGGTTGGTTGGATTATTCGATAAGTGTAGAAGGGGTATGGAATGCTCTTTTATAAAATAATAAGCATTATTTTACATTTTAGCTTAATTTACTAGAAAATAACGGTGTTTACTCGATTGTCTGTTGGCTGGTCAAGTGCTGAAAGTAAAATGGACGCGCGTGAGAAGGACTGTTCACGCATGTAGCATGACAATAGCTATGGATACATACATACGTACGCATAGATAAGTATATACATACATATGTACGTATATGCTTGTATTTTTGTATAACATGGATAATCAGTTCAGCATACCTCCATATTTGAGAGCTCATACATATAATGGACCTCACAATTATTCAGGCTGAAATTGAACTTCGTGCGAAGAGATTTAAAACACTGATTTTCGAGGCTGATATATACATTAGGGTTAAAAAACAAAAAAACCAATATGTTTCTTTCTAAAAAAGTTTCTCCAATAAGCGTTTTTAATTGTAAGGGAAGGGCCTGTGACATGCAGCTTTCCAATATTTCTTATTATACGAGTACTAGTAAGATAGAAAAAATCAAATCTCGCTTCCAACTACGACTTTAAAAAATTTAATGCTTTCAAAAATGGTCTGAAATTATGTTTTCATTAAACTGCTAGCTTAAAAGATGTGATATTTTTTTCTAATGATATTTATAACTCAATGAAAAAATAACTTTCAATTGCAAAACTTGGTTTGTAGCAAATTTCCTCTCTCCACAATAATGGTGTCTCATAATTAAAAAAAAGTTCCCAAAATTTTCAGCGCTCCATGATTAGATGTTTTGGCATTCCCGAGCGTTCGTTTGACCGTAGTAAGTCGAAAAAAACTATCCCAGCTGTTCAAACATTTCCTGTAGAGAACGAAGCATGGTAGATTGTAAGTCCCGACTACCAAATGCACAAAAACCCTTAGGTTTTTTGCAATTGACAAAATCGGCTAGAACAAGTTCAATGTTATCAGTCACTGTTTATATGCCTCAATGCGCTTGAGGGATGCTGCTTTTTCACACCAACGCGATTGTTGCACGCACCCCAATATCAATTGATGAGCAAATATTGGAGCCGGTTTGTTTATTGTCAGTGTTCCAAGCATCCATTAATGTCATAGATACGAGAAAATTATATACATACATAATACATATATTGTTGTTGCTATGGCTTACTCTGAGTTCAGAGCATGATAAGCGAAGGCGTACACGAAAGTTATAGATACAAGTAAGTAAATATCTATAGATATATGTACATATGTAAGTGGCTGCATAACATGTGAACGAATGCATTATAGCTATAAAGGAAAAGAAAAATATCCACCTACATATACATATACATACATACGCAAGCTTCAAATCAGCCAAATCGCCTTACTATATGCTTCAACCATCAGAAACTGCCAACAAACATTTGCCGCTTGTTGTGGGTGTGTTAGCATATGCATTTATAATGAGTACACGCACTCCCTTACATACGCACATACGTACATTTTCATGTACAGAAATATATGTAAATCCACACGACACTTTTTTGTGTACGTAAATTTATATGAATATCTGTATATATGTACATTCATATGTAATTGTATGAATGTTTATGTTCGGCTTGATGCATGTATGGGTTGCTTGGCAGCGAAAAATCGATAAATAAACGATAGTGGGTGCTTCCGCGTATCACGTGCATATTGTTCCCTCGCACCCATACATGCATACACATGTATTCACAAAACGTGAATTTTTGCTTGATTTGAATATTTTGCTATCGATTTTGAATACAATAACTAAGAGTTGGATTTAAGTCAGCCAATAATAATACTAAAAAAATGATTAAAAAATATTTTAGAAAAAATTA